CCTGAGCGCAATCACAAGTATGATGATGATCGGGTCAGTCGCACTGGTGCTCCTAAAAAAATGTTTATAGTCGCGCGCAGTAGTTTTCATTTTTAGAAATGGTCGCACTGTAGAGCCCTGTGTACCACAGTACAATATAGGTAATTGCATATGTTTCATGTTTACATTGTGCACTCCCCACCAGGTAGGCTACAATATTCTGATTGTTTGCATCTTGTTTTTAAGCCCATAACTAATAATGTACTTGTTCGAATAAATGAGGCAACCCAGTTGTGTTCCTCTGCGGCCAGATTATTAACAGATGCTCTATTCATTCTTTTTTAGAAACCTCGCACTTTTCTACTCAATTTTAAACGTTGTAAAATTAAGCGTGGTCCACTGCTTCACACGTGCCACAATATCGATACAGGGCCAGCTGTATCGATACTCGTATCGTCAGATCTCTGTGACGATACATCGTCGTATCGATATTTTGAACACAGCACTAATATTTACAATATAAAAAAAAAAAAACTCCATTAACTGCATTTAGCTTTATCCTGTTACCTATTTATATGCAATTATTCTAATTATTTCTATACAATTATTATATAACGTCATTTTTCCTCCATAGATCAGGTGATGGAGAAAGCCATGCACAAGTGTGTGCTGAAGCCTCTGAAGCCTGTGATAGAGGCCGCCTTGCGGGACTTCCAGGTGAGCAGTGGGACTTGGCAGCAGCTGAAAGAGAATCTGGTTTTGGCCAAAGCCAAGCAGCCCCAGGAGATGGGTGTGGATGGAGCTCTGCCTCCTGACCCAGTGGCCATAGAGAAGATTCGCCACAAGTTCCACAACATGTGCAAGATGTACTCACCAGAGAAGAAAGTGTCTCTGCTTCTCAGTGTGTGCAAGCTTATCTACACCATAATGGAGAGCAACTCAGGTACATGAGCGTGATGCATTTGTGTGAAATGCGTGAGTGTGACCATAATACTTTAGCATCATTTGATTTCAATTCATGATTTCAATCTTTGTTCTAACAATGGCAGGGAGGATGTATGGTGCAGATGACTTCCTGCCCATGCTTACATATGTGATGGCCCAGTGTGACATGCCACAACTGGATGCTGAAATAGAGTACATGATGGAGTTACTGGACCCATCACTGCTTCATGGAGAAGGTACATTAGACCCCGGTTTCCACATATTCGTCACAAATACTGCGCAACTGCAATAACTGCTGAAGTTATTATTATTAACAACATTGGATTGTAAATTACATAATTTTAGTAAAAGTCAACGACTGGGAGACTAGAATGTTTTATTTTAAATCTGTTATGTACATTTGAAAAATAGCCACGGGTAAAATTTACCCCGTGGTGGTTCTAGTGTTAAACAAGCTTGATATATATTGGGATTTACACCTAGATTTCTTCTTGTCTATATTCAGAACTACTTGCGGGTTGCGCTGCAAGATGCAAGCAGTGGCTGCACAGCCAAAACCCTTCAGGTGCAACCTTACGCCACAACGGAGGAAGTGTGTCAGATATGCGTTGACAAGTTTAAAATTTCGGACCCGGAGAACTACGCCCTTTTCCTCTTGACGGATGTAACCAAACAGCAGCTGGCCCCGGACACTCACCCGCAGAGGATCAAGGCCGAACTGCACAGCCGCCCACAGCCACAACTCTTCTTTTTTGTGTACCGCCAGATCCAAAACCTCACTGTCCCTTCAGACCAGCTCAATGACAACACTTCACCCAACTGACAGAGCAAACATGGTTTCCATCAGGTCCTCTCGAAACTCCTTCTCAGCCACATTTATTCAACTCCTTCCCTAGGAACACTGCTTATGTCTGCGTTGTTTTGAAAAAAGTTGGAGCGAAGCGGAAGATGCTTAGAGGGAAATAGGGAAGGAAGAATGGGTCTGACAGATGCAGTTTTTTATGCTCCGTCTTCACTATTTTCAAAACATTTTGGGAAGTGGCATGCGACCATCACGAGAGAGTAGCTGTGCCCAAACTGCAAATTTTACAGTATGCCTGTTATTTCTTCATGAATGTTCAAACACATTCAGGTTAGCAGAGAAACAGAGCATTTTAGTGTTAATGGTGTTTGTCTAAGCTTTGCTCATTCCACATTGAATACACTCCAAAATTGTGCCTTCCTCTTCCCAAAACTCTACATACCTCTTCTGTCTCCTGTTCTTCGCTATGCTGAGAGACTGTGGCATTTCTCTTATGACTGCATTGAGGTGAAGAATTTTAGAAAGTTCCTTCCTTCAGCATTCATTCAGTAACATGGACATCTCAGTCCCTAAGGACATTGTGGACAATTGTTTTCTGATGTAAACCTTTTGTTTTTTTATTTGCAGTTGCTGGTAAACTGCATTTTTTAATATGTATGATTTATTGTTATGATATTGCATGTATCTCTGTGATGATAAGAACCAGGCATTGTTGCCAGTGATGTTTTATCATATTGCTTTTGTATGAATTATGATCATTACGTTTTGTTAAAGTCATTGGTAGTAATGGAGATGGCAGAAATGATGAGGTTTGTTCTAAAATACTGTACTACTACCGACAAGCTAAACATTTAGGGCTTGTGGTAATCTGGATCTCTGTTGTACTAATTTTGGATTTGACTTGCAGACAAAGGGTTTTTGGCAAGTAGGACAAGTGGAAAGATCAGTGTAAAGAAAGAAAGAATAAGAAAAAAAGGAAATGGATGTTTTAAGCAGGTTTAGAGTCATTGGTAGAAAATATCAACGAACATAAATGGTTTTTGTGTCACTGTAAAGTGCTATCAGGGAATACAGAGATGGATGAGTCGCATAGAGGAGAATAGTTCTTTAACATTCATAACTATACTCATAACCTCTTAACTGCAATAACGTACCAAGTATTTCATGTTCTACTAATGTACTTTATGTTTGCATGTTTTGATGTAAACTCGGGGCATTGTTTTTAAGAGACCAGGGTGCTGAAATGCTCTAATCCCATGTAACAATGATATAGAAACACTAGTCACATCTGAAACACAAACTACGTTTCAAGTCGTGAAATGTATTTTAACAAGATATTTTAAGTCTGTTAAATGTATACATATTTATATGCAATCTGTGCAGGAATTTTTCACAGATTTGAAAAGTCTTGATTCAAAAATATTGTGTATTCATTTGGAGAAAAGCTCATCCTCATTCTTTAGTAAGTTCTGTGTATTTGCCTTTTAAAATGTACTCTTTTGCACACAATAAAATGATGTTGAACATTTATCATCTCTGTCATCTTTTATTACAAGCTTCCACAAGTCTTATCCTTTTCTGCATTAGCGGGAGGTTGGGTACCCTGCCAGTTTCTTTCTTGGAATAGATAAATACATTCCTCTTCATCTCCATGTGGGCTTGTACTTTCCACATTACTGATTCCACGGAAAACAAAATCATTAGAAGGCACCTCTGACCGTTTTCTCACCGTCTTCCATAAGTGAGGATTATTACTGTGTGTGTGTGTGTGTGTGTGTGTGTGTGAGGGAGATAGAACGAGTAGCCTATGTTTCATAATGGGCATTATTTCAAAGCAGCTTTGCAGACAACACACACACACACAAAGTAGAACGTCAAATTTTGTAACACATTTAGATACTGCATGTATTATTTTTTGATTGACCTGATAGAAAAAAAACATCATAATGCTAATGAAGATCTTAAAAGAGAACTGAATCCTGCTTATTTAGACTACATAATCCAGAACGCTGCTGCCAGGATTCTGACCAGAACCAGAAAATCTGAGCATATCACACCAGTCCTCAGGTCCTTACATTTTTTTTTTATCATTTCAAAGTTGTTAAATTCCTTGTTTTATTGTTGTGATTATTTTTTTCTTTTCTTTTATGTAAAGCACTTTGAATTACCATTGTGTATGAAATGTGCTATATAAATAAACTTGCCTTGCCTACATTCGAATGTCCTTAAAGGAGACAGTATGCCCCTTTTTACAATATGTAATATAAGTCTCTGGTGTCCCCAGAATGTGTTTGTTCAGTTTCAGTTTCAGCTCAAAATACTCCACAGATCATTTATTATATCATTTTGAAAATGCCCGTTTTGAGTGGAAGCAGAAACAGCTGTTTTTTGGGGGGCTGTCTCTTTAAATGCAACTGAGCTGCTGCTCCACCTACCTTTTCAGAATAGAGCTGCGCCATTACAGCTGGTACCTGCTAAAAACATCTGTTATGGTACTGATTATCATGTTTATCGCGCTAAAATCATGCGGTTTAAACCATATGAGTTTAAACATCTAATATACTTTTTTTTCTGAGAGCACACATCCAAAGTACACGGACAGAAAGCGGCCACCACACACAGCATGTGAGTACTAAACTAAGTTCTCATTCACACACAAGTTTACTAGGTAAACTGCTGGGAAATAAATCGCATGTTTATTTTAGATCTATAGTGTTCTGTGCAGACAACGGCAGAACAGTTAGTATGTTTTGCTCAAACATTCGCCATTGCATTAGAGCTGGTACACCGTTGTCGCTTGCGAAATGCGAAAACACAATGACGGCGCCGTGGGTGGAAATTTACAGATTAAGGGGCGGTAATATTATAATGAGATCCCTTTGCAACGTCACCAAGGGAGCAGAGGCGGACAGTAACTAAGTACGTTTACTTGAGTGTT